ACACAATTTTATGGAAAGCCTTGTGAGTGAGACTCTTCCTTTTTCCTTTCTTCTGCTGGAGAGGCCCTAGTCACATTGATCATCCCAGTTCCAATGTTTGCTGCTGCACACAGTTTCCCTGGACTCACCCAGACAGACCAGATCACTGCAGCCACTGCACCATCATAAGTCCCCAGGTCTGCATCTATCTCATCGTATTGTAATCCTTTGATTGTCTGAGGGCAGTCACGAGAGGTGCTATTCTGTGAGAACTACAAATATAAATTGTAAAATGCTCATATAAGATGAGAATACCTTGAAATCGTTTTAAAGCTACCGTCACATTGTGAGGTCCGATGGGAGCCATCTCTGGCAGCTCATGCGCAAGCACTCCCTTTGGAGGCCCACAGCTGCTGGACTGAAAAGAGGCACCACACCGGAACCCCTCAGAATGCCACAGAGCCTTCGCACCTTGTGGGCACCTTCATTAGGAAGATTCAGCAAGAGATGGGAACTGCCCTCAAAATGCCTTTTAAATGAAAAATAACGGCCCGGTAACAGGATGCCACTCACCTAGTGAAATTGATGCTTTCTTGGCTCTTAATTGCAAAGATATACATGTCTTGGCTTAATGCATGTCATTATTTTGTTTATTGGGCCTAATTATTAAAACCATCTCCCAAGACTTGTTGGGATTCACGTTAGCACTGGATGGGTCCCAGATTTAGCATTATGCCCATACAGTCTTGGAAGTGCCTGGAACATACTGGCACTGGGTCAGTATTGGTTCCATCTGGATCTGTTTCTGATGCTGAGTCACGTTTCTAACATGGTTCTGAGATGCCTGTTTCAGAGTGTCTCCAGCTGACATGACAGCCAGCAGGAACAGGCATCCAACACCACACCAAAAAGGCCCCGCCAAAAAGGCTCTGGCAGTTTCTGGGGAGAACCTGTCATATTGCACAGGCACTGATTGTTCCACTGAAACCAGCAACTCAGTCCCTGGGAGAGGGAGGCCTGCATCAAGAGAAAGTTCCTGGATACAGTGGTTAAGACATGCAAGTCCTTATCATTCAAAGCACTAAAATCTCTCTACCATGAAGAAAATGGGGAAGGATTACACATGTTGAGCTGGCTGACCAATTAGTAAGACTAATACTGGTAGTTTCTGGTAGCACGATAAAACATTTGGTCAGGTTTTCAGAGTTAAGAAATGGGTTTTTTAGAACCTGCATCACCTTTGTTTTGCCTTCAAGCTGCCAGGGAGATCATTGCCACCTGCCACATCTATTGACTGAATTTACAATTAACCCAGGGAAAGACCCAGCCCAGTTCTGCCCATTCTCCCTCCAACACTGCTTTCCGTTTTCACCAAGCGTTTGACTTACGTGGAGAGCCCAGAAACTTTGTGAAAGTTAGGAGCAGTCTGCATTTCATAATCTTTGCCAGTTTTTCTGACATCATCCTTTCTGTCGTTTTAGTTCATGTTTTGCTAATAAAAGGGGCATTATCTTCACACCTGGAAATTTCTTCTTGCTTTATTACAGAAGAAAAAGTTTCTCTTTTTTTTAATCCCTTTTTATTCTGGAGGGGATTGAGAGGTAAAATTGTAAACAAAATATTCCAGTTACAATCTGGAGTGTACCACCTTCTGTATCCTGGAGCCGTTTTACAGATTATTTTTATTTATGACACTCCTGTAAACTTGTCAGGACATCACAGGGACTCTCCCTCACCCCATCCTCCCAGGCAAGTCTAGTCACATCTCTAGCCTTGCCCGCATCCTGCGTGCCCACAAAAAATGCAGGTGCTCAGTGCCACCTGTGCACACACATGGACATGAACATGGCTATCCAACTTTTCATTTACAATCAAACATCATGATAGGGATAGAGAAAACCTAGATATCCTCACAAACATGAAGGCACGAATTGTGGTCTATCTACATGGGGACTGCCAGGAGCAATACTCCACAGCAAGTGCACCAGGCACCCAGGAGCCAGACCCAGCCGTCTCACTTTTAACAAGCTCACCTGGCGATCTGATGCAAGTTTTACTTTGAGAGCACTCCCAGAGCTCCACTGTGTGCACAGATGCAAATAAGCACCAGTCTTGCGAGCTCTCTTACTATTAAGCTAGGCAGGGGCTGGGCTGATGTACCTCACAGTCAAAAGCTGGTTTTGCTTCCAAGGAAGAAAACTATTTGTATCTGGTATTCCTGTGGTATGGGATCAGTATTCTGCTATTTAAAAATATTTTGGAGAGAGGAGAAAGACCAGAGAAATACCAATTAGATATTGTCTTCATATCTTGTTTATTACTTTTATAATACATACTCTGATTACAACTCTAGAGTCTAGAGCTCAAAAATAATCTTGATTATTCCCCTGATTCATCCATCTACGCTACTTCCCTTAATTCATATCATCACACAGTTTAGTTTTTATTCTTCTATTTTTTCCACAGCATAATTTGTTCTCAAACTTGCCTTTAGTTTATAGGCTACTGAGAGCCATCACAGATAATCAAAACGTTTTTCCCAGTAGCAAGTCCAGATCCTTCTTGTGTAGTATAAATGCATTTCTTTAATCTTGTTATATCCCATTAAATCCTCCATTGATACCTAAATGTTCTCCTCATCCATCTCTCCATTTTTCTGGTAAGAGAACATCTGTTCATAAATCAAATAATTTAGCAGTTAGAAAGTACAGCTAAAATTTATGACAACCTATTCTAGTGCATGGGCTGCGTACCCCTGTGGCATGCAAGATAATGTATGTGGCACAGAGACCTGGCATTAAATAATATTGGGTCATAGATTGAAAAGGTGTGACTCAGTTCCTCTCAATCATCTTTCATCCCAGTTCCATTTAGGAGAGTCTCTATTGCATGCTAGTGTGTTTTTTATGCCTTCTAATACTTTCTAACATCCCTACTTAATGTCTATAGAGCAGGCTTCAGGGTCAGAGCCTTTAACAGCAAACATATCTAGTGAATATTTATTAAGATCAATTAATTGTCATTCTATTTGAGGTTGTTTTCTATTTATGATGAAAATAACAACAAAAATTAAATATAACTTTAAAATGAATACTGTCTCTAAATTAACATACATGTACTTTTTATATGGTTCCTTTTAGAGCTAATTATACTGTTTTAAGACAATAATAGAGAAACAAAGGATAAATAAAGGTAAAGTTTCCCAACTGTGGAATCATCCATCTAACATCCTGGGAATCCCATAGTCTAATTACTATTGGCAGTCAGAACAGTTATAACAGTTATCTAGAGAAGAATGCTTAAGACAAAGAATTTCAAGTCTTTGTATTTCTTTTGTTTATTGACTTGAAAGAGGAAGGCAGAGGAAGAGAGAGATAGAAACATCAATGATGAGAATCATTGATTGGCCGTCTTTTGCATGCCCCCTACTGGGGATCAGACCTGCAACCTGGCCATGTACCCTGACCTGACTGGAAATAGAACCATGGCCTCCTGGTTCATAGGTCAACACTCAATAACTGAGCCACACCCGCCAAGCACCAGTCTTAATATTTCTTACAAAATCTTGTTGTTCTATTTTTTCCTATGAATATAAAAAGTAGCTCCAAAAAGGTTCACCTTGATATCCCTGCTATGTCTTTTCCTGACAAGGCCTACCTACAACCTGGTTTCATTTTGCTATAATACTTAGGGTTTCAAAAGATGCCCTTTCCTTGAATATGCAAACAATAAAGCAAAAGCTTCTAGAACAAAGAAGCTTTCATAGCTGTTAAGAGGGTACTAAATAGAATTCAGACTTGCTGATGGTTCAGTTCTTAGTTCTGTCATCTTCTTACTCTTGGGAAACTTTACAATGTTAGAAGGTAAATCTATATCCTGAACCTAGTTTTACCTAAGAAGTAGTTTGTCCCTTATATTTATCCACCAAATTTCAATACCAACAACACTTCTCTTTCTTCCTACCACGTGGAGGAGATAAATTTCATCCTCAACCTGGCTCCCTGAACTGAACATATGGAGTAGCCAATGGATCCAAAAAACAAGTGGTAATGTCCCGCCCAGATTCTTTAGTGTCTGTCTTCAAACATCATATCTAAATCCACGGACTGCTAGCGCAAAATGGTACCTTATTTTTGAAAGCTAATTTGGCAGTATTCATAACTTATTCCTGGTATACACATAATTTGGCATCATGTATCGACATCCTTAAAATTTTTATATCCTTTGACTAACAAAATAATTTAACATTCAGACATCCATACAAAGACTTTTACAAAGATATTTACTATATTTTTACAAGTGGAAAATTGAAAATCTTACTACTTACTGTCCAAAAACAGGAATTGGTTAAATAAATGTTGTTACATCTATAAGGTGAAATTTTAAACAGCTATGCTCAGGGTTGATATTCTCAGAAGGATTTTTAGAATAGCATATCAGAAATTCTCATGCTACTATTTAAAATAAAATAAATGCACAGTATGATCTTAACTATATATAAGAAGGAAGGGAGAGACATTAACACTGGTTATTTTTATTCCTTTCTTATGTTCCAATTTTTATCCTACCGTATTTTCTTGCGTATAAGATGAACTCCCCCCCTCCTAATTTTACAGTTAAAACATAGGTTTAGGCCTATATTCGCTGTATAAGACTACCCCCCACTTCTGAGGCAACACCAGTTCTTTTTTTAATAGACCGCCTCTCTGACTCTGGCCAATCTGAGCAGGCTTTTTACTAGAACACAGTGTCGTCTTATACGCTAGAAAATACAGTATATGTCTTTCTGTGTTATAGAATTTTTTTATAAAATGCATAAGTAAAATTTCAAAAATTAAGATACAAAAGCAAATCACCAATGGAGCAATTGATGCTTTCTGTGTTTTTGTGTTCACATGCTGTTCTCTGATGTGTTGCTTTTGCTAGGGATTTACCCTATCCATTCTCCGACTGGAGACAAGGCAAGACCCCTACGGATGGGCGATGATGAGAATCTGAATGAGGTCTCTGTTCTTTTTCAGCACACAACAGTTTTGCCCTTTATATTGATCGAGATGAGGACATCACACCATGGGTATCCCAGCAGGAGCAGCGGACTTACTACCATATGTACCTTCTCTCTTGGCTATATATTATGGTAAGGACAGTGCCTGCTGGGCTTTCGTATTGTATTAGATTTTTGCACTGCTAAATTTGGGCACATATTTCATTATGGATATAATCACTAACAGATTCATACTGCGTGCCTCATTTGGTCCAAGACCTGGGCTTTGTCTCATTTCCCCAGATGCTTATATTTTTAGAAAGTATATGCCAAACCTCACACAACAGGAATTTGTTGAACAATCCCATGTAAGCAGTGGTTCTTCCAAGGCTACATTTTTTAACTCTTTTTCAAACTAAATGTTGTTCTTGGACACCAATTTTATTGCTTAAGGGGTTTTTTTGCTTGGGATTTTTTGTTGTTGCTTTTGTTGGGGAATGGGGGAGTTGTAGCAAATGCAAATAAGGACGGGAGAAATGACCTCTTAGAGAAATGACTTTAAACTTCATAGGAAACAAGTGAAAATATACATGAGTCAGTTTAAAACCTATTCCAGATTAGTTTTTACATATAGCATGCATTTAATGGTTTTTGTTTTGTTTGTTTTTTTTTAATTGGGGTAAATCTTTGTCTATTGGGCATGAATAAGTCCCAAGTGGGAGATTCCAAATTTATCTGATAAGAGTTTTTGCCTGATGAGTTTATTACACATTAATTGCAGTTCTTACCATGTTTTTATGTTTCAAAATTATTTATCTTGAGATAGAAAATTTCTTATTTCTCTTTATAATTCCAAGTTATCTTTGATATATTAGCTTACACAGCAGAGGTCTCTCCCACCAGCATTTCTATCTCACAGGACTCTTTTGCCCTCAATTATAGGTCACTGTCCCCTCCTTTAAGCCTGAAAGACTGAAGAACCTTCCTCCAACACCCCCTCCCCAACTGTACTTAATCCCATCAAGCTCATGGAGGGCTTTGGGCGGCCGGAGCGTTTGGCTCCAGCCAGCCCAGAAATATAAAATGAAGGTCAGCTCAGGTCCTCACATACTTTGCATGAATGCTCACATAATGTCCCAGATCTGAACAGAAAGGGAATTTGCTTCTAGGAAGGACACTCTATGACCAGCTCTAAGGGGACATCCAGACTGCAGACCTCAGAACAAACGTGCAGTAATGTTTATTCCATCTGCCAATTCATGGACTAGTCAAAGACCATTTGTGAGGGGACTGGGGACCATTTGTTTTCCTAGTCACTGTCTAGATTTTCTTTTTCCACCTAAAACCTCACGTATTCATTTTCTCTGACAGGAAAGCTCCAGATGATCATGGAGTCAAGTATGACTGTGAAATTACATCTTAAAAATTCATGTGCTTTATACATAGGAACTTGGTAGTCAAATGACTCTTACCTTTCAGAAGAGCCATGTGGGGAACCTACATAATTATTCAAGGATGCAGCAGTGTTCACAACATACCTGGGAGTGCCTATAGCATTTAAGCCTCAAATGCCCTTCGCTCTTCTCTCCCCAAAACACATTCTTATTATTTTGCACTCACATTTGCTTACCTATGGGAAGGGAATTTTTTTACTCTGGGAACTCTGGATATATTTCCACGAATTCACTTATATGCCGTTAAATTATCTGAACCTTGTAAAGCCCCAGAGGTTGTAGGAACTACATACTTTCTGATGGTTTTTTTTCCACTGGAGGTAAAATCTGTCCGAGTTTCAAGGAGACGTGGGAAATACCGCATTGTCTTCATTATAGACCCCCAAGATCCCTCATTAAAATGAAGCATTACTCACGCTCTTCATGCCAAGTGAGGCTTGCCAGTGGTGTGTACTCCCTAAGCAAACCAGTACTTGTTTAGACATGTATTTGCATTAACTAGCGAATTCCCTCAGATATATTCTGAGAAAGCTTTCCAAAACAGACTTTTTTCTTTGGTGTTCTGCCCTAGGCATTCACAGCTATGCCAAGACCTAAACAATGTCCTACATATCATGTCACCTTACATAAATCCAAAGATTTTAATTGTTATAAAAAAAAAGATGCTGGTTTTTGCTCCCTTTCAGACTATCTCAGAGCTGATGAACCAGCAGAAGTTCAGGATATGAAATCTCTTAATAGCATACCAGAGTTGTGACTGGACATTCCAGAACCTCGTGCCAAAATGGAAGAAAGTATTCCTCTTATCACATGCTAGATATAAAATAAATAGATCTCCCTCCCAATTCCGGTATGTGTGAGTTGAACCTATACCTTGCAGGCTGCTGGCCAGGCTGGCTCTCTGCTTTGCTCTGATTCTAGCTTTCTCCTCATCTCACAAGTCTTCCTCTCTCTCTGAATCTGTTCTTTTTCTAGATTTAGATAGTGAATGTTGACAAAGCGAGGGATACCAGAACTTTCTCTCATACCCTGGAGCCCATTGAACTCACACCCTCAGTGGCAATGACTAAAGTAATATTAATCTTCAGTATATGTAAAAAACAGTACTTAGCAGAAAGTGGATACCATGTTAATGTTATCCACATAAACCGCTCCAATATAGTTTATGCTTCATTATTTTAGAAAACTTTTGCTGACGTCATGAGTGACTTCTGTTTTGCTAAATTCCTTGAATGTTTTGTAGACCTTTTCTCAATGGACATTTCAGTAGTTTCCATACTGAAACATTCCCCTTCCTGAATCTCTCTCTTCCAAGTTACGTGATATAACAATCTCCATGTTTTCCTCCCAGTTTTCAAAATTGATCCCTCTCCGAATCACTTAATGGTTCCTCCCACTCTATCCAAACCTCTGTGTTGGAACTTTATGGAGCTCAGCTCTAGGTCGTCTTCCTTTTTTTTAATTTTTTAAATTTTTTTTATATATTTTATTGATTTTTACAGAGAGGAAGGGAGAGATATAGAGAGCTAGAAACATCGATGAGAGAGAGTCATCGATCAGCTGCCTCTTGCACACCCCCCACTGGGGATATGCCCGCAACCAAGGTACATGCCCTTGACCCGAATCGAACCCGGGTCCCTTCAGTCCCCGAGCCGACGCTCTATCCATTGAGCCAAACCGGTTTTGGCTAATTTTTTAATTTTTTTGTGGTAAGAATACTTAACTTGAGATCTATCCTCTTAACCTAAGTTCTCTTCTTTTACTACCTACTGTCCCTAGGTGAACCCATTCACTCTGCATTTGCAACCACCACCATCCCAGATCTACATAGCTCAGAGCTCTCTCCCAGTATCTATTCACAAGACTCACACACTTAGCAACTGCAAAACAAATTCATGCAGCACCTGCTTTCCCAATCACACCCTCAAATTGTATCCCTTGGCATTGCCAACCACCCAATTGTTCATGCCAGAAATCTATGAGACATCATCTTCTCATCTCTCTTAGACCTACCGACAGTCTTTCCTCATTTCTGGCTTTTATGTCTTTAAAGTACTTTAGAATTCTTACACTTTGCTCCCTTTCTACTGCCAATACCATGGTTTGAGCTTCGGTTATCTGTCTCATGAAACACTGAATAGAACTGGCATTTTCCCACAACCACCCCTATTCACAGGACCTTGTGTGACTTTTTAAAAACACATGTGTTCATGTCATCCCTTGCTCAGAGAGTATGGATGACTTCTCATTGCTTCTAGGAATAAAGTCCAATATTCCTGTACCTGGATTATGAGATCCTGCATTACCTGAGCCTTCCAGCCTCTCTAGCTCTAGCCACAGTGACCTTCTCTCTGATTGTCATGAGCAATACATTCCTGCCAATTCAAAGCTTTCGTCTTCTCCACCACACAACTCTCCTCCCCCAGTTATGTCTCCCACAATTAGTAATCCAAATCTTACTCATCCTTCAGGTCTCAGTTTACATATTTCTTTTTCAAGGAGACCTTCCTTTCCCTGATTCTTGAGACGTGGCTCAGCCTCTCTGTGGTACACTACTATAATCCCCGTTGGTTTCCTTGTAGGGAGTTAAAAAATAAAGACAGTTGTTTTATCTGGTTATTTGGTTTAATTTTTTTCAAAGTTTGGTACCCAAATTCCCTCCCCTCACTATCTAGAGCAAGAGAATGATAAACAATTGAAATAATCTTAAAGAAAAATAAAGAGAGCTTCCTTGTTTACAGTTTTATAAGGGTTAATATTAAATATATTTTCTTTAGACATCGCCTCAGTCAAAATGTCACAGAAAATGTTCTTAAGATAAAATGCTTAATTGTGACAGTGTGTGAGTTTAAAATGCAAGGAGATAGCCGAAACCGGTTTGGCTCAGTGGTAGAGTGTCAGTCTGCGGACTGAATGGTCCCAGGTTCGATTCCGATCAAGGGCATGTACATTGGTTGTGGGCACATCCCCGGTAGGAGGTGTGCAAGAGGCAGCTGGTCGATGTTTCTCTCTCATAGACATTTCTAGCTCGCTATCTCTCTCCCTTCTCTCTGTAAAAAATCAATAAAATATATTTTAAAAAATAAAATAAATAAAATGCAAGGAGATAAAGTAAAGGGAACATTTTTTCAATTATATATATATATATATATATATATATACTACTATGTTCCATTTAGCTCAATTGTTAGCCATATAAAGTCTTTACAATAATTCTAGCTTCAATTTCTGTAATATTGAATTTCAACTTTATTGTCTTTTCTCCCACCTGCCTGATTTATTTAAATTGCCCACTGAACCTGATAGACTTGTGAAAAGAATCTCACAGATTCGTTCCTTGCCAAAGAGACATCTTATATGGGAGATGATCCAATTCAGGCAATAAAAACATTTCAAGTAGAAGAAAACCCATTTATTAGCCAAATTATAGCCTTCTCATTTTCCTGAGTGAGCCTTCAAGTTGTCAATGAGAGTATTCGAGCACTTAAAAGCTCTGGTAGACATGGGAGGGATTGTGAAAACATCTTTAAGGTGATCCCAGTCCTGCCCAGTCTCACCTTCAGCAGGTGATTTCCACAGCCTACACTAACTGGGAGGAAAGAGTGCCTTTCCCAGCACCCAGCAGTACTGGGATCCTAAAAGCACAAAATAAAAGCTGATTGAAAGTAAATAATTTAAATGAGGAAATATCTGCACCAG